GGACGAGCAACCTTGTGGTGTGACAATAGGAGTGATGTGGCTGTCTGTGATAATCCTGTGCTTCATTCGAAATTCAAGCATGTCGAGCTCGATTTATTCTTTGTGCGTGAAATGGTGGCTGCTGGAAAACTGCAAGTGCATGAAGTTGCAGCCTATGAACAGGTTGCTGATGTGTTAAACAAAGCCACTCTCAGCACCTATGTTTGTAAAGCATCGTCAAAAACTCTTGGTCACTCAATTGTTTAGAAAGTTAAGCATGGGGAATGTTGGTTTCTAATCTGCTGCTTAGAAAGTTAGAAAGCATGGGGAATGTTGAGTTTAAATCATTATGCTGTATAGAAGTCCGAAAGCATTGAAAAAGAAGACGGGTGAATGTAATAGGTTCTCATTCTGTTATGAGAGTCAGTTTGCAGAAGTTAGTTAGTTAAGCTTCTGTTATGAATCAGTTAGTCTTCTGTTATAATTGGTTATGCGTGTACTTAGAGCTATAAATAAGCTCACTTGTAACAGCAGATACATGATGAATTTTAAAGGTTTTCAGAGAGCATATTCTCTCTTGTTTTTTGTTTCCTTTCTCTTGTGTGTAGTTATGCTACTCTTGACAGCCTCAACCTCAGCTGCTCCACCATTTGATGCGTTCTCACAAGTATCTAAGCAATGGCTGTCAAATTGATCCAGATGTTGGGAATCCATCAATGAGGAATGAACTTCTGATACCCGTTGTGAAAGATTTTGTTTAACTGTGGATTGTCTGATATGCAACCCATCGTTGAAATCATTAAACCCACAAATTTAGGTTCAATTGAGAACTTTGCGGAAGCAGGTGATTCAGGTGTCTCCGTATACTTTCTCGACAACTCCAGAAGCCGATGGAAGAGTAAATGAGCAACAGTACGGTCAATGGGATTGGTCTCAGTTTCTTTTGTAATCTTATTCTCAAAGGTAATCTTTTATTCCATAAGCCAAACGCCCCCTTAAGATCGTGATATTCGAATGATACAAACCCTTTTGTGCTTTCCGGATTCTGTTATAAAACTTTTGCTACAGTCAATTTTTCTTAACTCGGGTGAAATTGTTATCGGCAAATATAGAAAATGTGAGATATTGGGAACACCCAGAGACTGCACGATAGCGGTAGCAGTGGTGATGATGATTGGTCGGTGGAGGCGGTGGTAGCAACGGTGGTGATCGGTGACAGCTGTTATTGGGGCTTTGGAAGCCTTTAGTTGTGAAGTGGGGTACACTTTGTATTCCCCTTGATAGAGATGGTTTAGGCTTGGCAACCGCAACACTGCCCTTTTGATGAAAATATGCTTTGTTTTAGTGTGTAAACCTGATTGGTTTTGGATTCAACTTGTACGACAGCTCTTTGAACACCTTCCTGGTACTATCCATCGCAATATTTGGAATTGTTTCTTAGATGGACTGTGGGAAATGGGGAGAACACCTGCAAATGCTTGTGGTGATTTAGACTTAATCATTAGGGTTTTAATGTACGATGTGCTTACAAAGCTTTAGTTGAAGACATCAAAACCCAAAATGGAGTAGTATATGGAAAATGCAAGTGACACTTGAATGGATGTGCTGCTACGCCGACAAGTCTTCTAGTTCAGCCACCATTGTTTGTGCAGTGAGTGAAACCACCGACCGATTGGTTCTGTCTGAATGTTGTGGAGTTGTTGGCACTGCCGAGGAGTAATCTACAGGCACTTGGATTCAACAAATTCCTTGGCTACACAACTTTGGAGTATGCTCATTGGATTGAAGCAATTATTAATTCAATCCGACTGCCTAAATGCTACTAAAATTATATTAGCCAGGATGGTGCTGCAACAAATCCACAAGCTACCAACTCACAGCTAGGAAACCACCATTCAATGGGTACCCAGAGAAGTCAAGACTTGCTGATGACCATGCACTTTTTACCAACACAGTATATGCTCACCCTCCACCCACACAGCAAGTGTTGTTTGAAAGTGATGAAATTACATATGAATCAATATTTAACATTTAATGATAAAAACATATTTAATTAAAAGTGGTTTTAAAAAGTATAATTGGTTTAACGTACATTTTTCGTTTAATCAAAAACTAATATTTTTTTAGTTTTTAGTTTTTAAGTGTTATTTAGATAAATTAGTACGTTCTCTGATCTTTTCATAGTCATTTTTATGAAATTAAAGCCTTAATTAATATTTGTTTTATGTTATTTAGAAGTTTTTCTTCTTACACGATTTACATAATCTTCATTTTTAATCCTTTTTTTTTATTTTGATTTTTTAATCTTACAATTTTTTTTACTTTCACGTTTGTTTTGCACTATATGTATAAAAATGTATAGTTATGTGATGTCAGTTTATTTAACTTTTATACAAACTCATATTATAGGTAGAAAATATTTAATATATATATATGTAAATAATATATTGTTAAAATAATAAAAATATATAATAAGTGTTATACATTACATTTAAAAAAATAATTTTTCATATATTATTTCTAAAAAATAGATTATGTTTAGCATGTGTTTATATTAAAATAGAATACAATTCCTAATTTAATAATAATACAATCATTTAATATATAATACAATTCATAATAATTAAAAGATACTTTTAAAAAACAAAAATTAATATTTAAATGTTATTGTCACGCCCTCAGAACCTTCAAGCCCCAAACCGTTGGAATGTCAGAGTTAAGGTCTGACGGGTCATGCGACCTTAGACGCTTCTTGGTCTTCTCTGCGACTAAGTAAGACTTACTCAAGCCTAGTGAGCATGCAAACTCACAAAGGTTGAAACCAAGCCCTCAAGACTTCTAGGATTGCGAAAGCTTTAACATCAACGTAGCTACTCCAAGCCACCAAGGTTGGACTATCGTATGAAAGTGCAAACAAAAGTGGACTACTCCTGGCCACCAAGATAGGCAACAACACAAAGAGAATGGAGAACAAAGAACACTGAAAGTATATAGTAAATGCTTCAGAGCTTTATTACTCTCCAAAGAGAATGAATGGAATGGATGATACAAATGAGGAGGAGAGACTCTCTATTTATAGTTGAGCTCTCTCTCAATCAATGGCCCAAATCATTTTACATCAACGGCTAAGATCTGCCCAATTAATAACAAATCCCTTATTTCATGGAATTACAACAAAATCCTACCTAATTACATCCATGAGTAGGATTCTTTCCTTGGATAGGTGTTCACACCGGATATGGTAAGATTCTCCCATAATATCTTCATGATTTTGTTGTCTCTTGCCATATTTACCGAGCTTCTGTGATCATATTCAAATTTGATGCCACTTTCCTTTTCTGCACAGCCAATGTTAACGGGCTCCGCATCATTCTCCAAGTGATGGGCCAAGTCTGGTGATCTTAGCTAGCCCGATACTATATCTTGAATCTCCTTGTCGGACACTTGCACCAATGTCTCGGGCCTAAGTATTACAGCCCGTGACAATATCGTGTAAATGTTATTTGATAAGTTTCTCAAAAATTAATCATTATGAATATTAAATAGGGTAAATTACAAGTTTAATACTTAAACTATCGATTTCAGTACTTAAATTTTCAATTTTTTTCAAAATCATACCTAACGTTTAGTTTTTGTTTTATTTTAGTACCTTACCATTAAAAACTTAACGGTTGATTTGCACATCACTTTTTTTTATGGGTAAATTACAAATAAAAATACAAAATCTCAATATATAGTTTGATAAAGTACACAAATGATACTCTGACTATATAGTGTTACTTTGTAAAGTCTCTCAACTATTAAAAGTTACAAAATGATTCCCAAACTATAAGACATTATTTGGTTGATCCTCCAACTATTAAAAGTTACGAAATGATCATCTGACTATTCATATGTTTCAAAATCATATTTTTTGATTAAAAAATTGACATTCGTCTAAGCTTAACTTTAACCTACTTAATGAGATATGATAAAATTATATTTTAATGATATATATTGGTGTCATTGTTGTTTTTAAACATTGACTCGCCAACATAATGTAAACAAAAATCCAATCCATAAAATACAACTAAAACAATTTTGAGATTAAATTTTATCATATCCTAGTCAACAAGTTAACATCCATCTAAAACGACCGTCAATTTTTTAATAGAAATAACAAGTTTGAAATATATGAATATTCATATGACCATTTTGTAACTTTTAAAAGTCAAATGACTCAACAAAACAACACCTAAAGTTGGATGACCATTTTATAACTTTTAATAATCAAGGGACTCAACAAAACAATACTCTATAATCATAATACCATTTGTTTACTTACCCTATATAGTTTAACTGAATACATACAAAATCATTTGAATCCTACCCAAAGATTGATCAAATAATCAAATTGTTAAAAAACGACAAAAAAAGTATTTGTAAATACATAAAAGTTTGAAATATAATTTAATCAACTAAATTAAAAAAACCCCAATGGCAATTATATTTGCACCCTTCACACAAACTGCTGCAAGACTTGGCTCCAAGAACTGTACATTGATTGACCTAATTTGTTTTGGTATAGACCCTAATTCTGATGTGGAAGCAACATCTTGACGAATTGGTATAAACCCTAGATTTTACTCCCAAAGGACCTCACTAAATTTTCTCAAAAACGTTAAAAAAATATGGTAAACCACATGTTTAATATCTAAACTATTACTTTTGTTCTATTTTGGTACTTAAAACTTTTTTTTTCCAAAATTTTACATAACATTTAGTTTAAGTTTCATTTTAGTATCCCGCTGTTAAAAATTTAATGGTGACATATTACCATAAGAAAATACTACGTCATCAATGAAAAAAATAAAAAATAACACGACAACAATTCTGTTAATCTTTTAACAGCGGAATACCAAATTAAACATAAACTAAACGTTAGGTATGATTTTTCTAAAAAAAATAAAATACCAAAACGGAACAAAAATAATAGTCTAAGTATTAAATATGTAGCTTAACCAAAAAATAAACACCTCATTGTACCCAACATCACGACTGGATAACAATATTTCAAGGATGTATAAAGAAAACAGGAACTATACACGGCTCTGGTTCTCTTTGTTCTCCATTTCGTGCACATGGTCCACTATGTGTTGGATCTTCTTTGATAGACTCTCATTGTGCTCCTCAATTTCCTCGAAAATCAACTCCAGATGTCTTTTATAAGTCGCGGCTCTTTTCTTCTCCATCACCAGCTGCTGTGTTAATTCTCGGATTTTATTATGTTCATTCTGCAACAAAAACAAGAAGTTTCATTACATATAATATTTTGGGTAAAGAACACAAATAACCATAGAATTTTGTTTTGTTGAATGATGCGACTATTAAAAGTTACAAAATAGTCCATCGACTATAGTGTATTACTTTGTTGAGCCTTCTGATTATTAAAAGTTACAAAACGATCCCGACTATTCATATGCTTCAAACTCATATTTTTCTGTTAAAAAAATGATGACAGTCTGAGCTGGACGGTAGCCTGCTGATTGTATAATAACGACAACAACAACCTTGGTCTTAAGTCTCCATACTTTCCTATAAGAGGTCATGTCCTCGGTAAGGGCTAAATCTTTCAAATCAGATCTCAAACAGTCTTCCCACTTCCGCCTTGGTCGTCCTCTCCTTCTGGCACCGTCGACTATAATCGACTCTACCCTCATGACCGCATCCGACGATTGTTGCCTAAGGACATGCCTAAACTACCGTAGTCTTTCCTCCTACAATTTTTCGGATACAACCACCACCCCCAAGGACATCCTAATAGCAGAGTTTGGTGTCATGTCCCACAGAGTCCTACCACATGCCCATCAAAGCATTCTCATTTCTGCGGCCTCCATCCTCCTTACGTGATTCTTCTTGATTGTCCAACATTCTGAACCATACATCAGCGCTGGTCTTATTGCCATTCTATAAAATTTTCCCTTAAGTTTTAGAGGCACCTTCTTGTCACACAAAACTTCAGTAGCAGCCCTCCACTTTAGCCATCCCGCCTTTATACGGTGTGTAACGTCATAATCCACACCCCAATCTTTATGTATAATAAACCCTAGGTACTTGAAACAATCCTTTGAGGGGAGAACGTGTCTTTCTATGCATACTTCTACATCTTCATCGTTTTGTTCCCACTGAAGTTTGAACATAAATACTCTGTCTTTTCAATATTGATCCTTAAACATTTTTCTTCCAAAGCATTCTTCCAGGTAGCTAGTCTACTATTCAGCTCAGTTTTTGTTTCAGCAACTAGGACAATGTCGTCAGCGAAAAGCATACACCATGGAACATCGTCTGGTGTCGCACAATAGATGTCGTCCATAATCAAGGCGAAGATGAAAAGGCTAAGAGCCGACCCCTGGTGGAGTCTGATTTCCACCGGGAATGCCTCGGTGTCGCCAACTGTAGTCATGACGTATGTAGTAGATCTACAATACATATCACGAATCGCCCGGATATAAGCAGTTGGGATCCATCTCGTTTCCAAGGTCTTCCAGATCGTATCGCGGGGAACACTATCATACGCCTTCTCAAGGTCAATGAACGCCATGTGAAGATCTCTATTTTTTCCCCTATATTTCTTTATAAGTCGTCAAAGTAGATGAATCGCCCGTAATAGACCTTCCTGGCATAAAACCAAATTGGTTTTCCGAAACCCTAGTAACTTGTCTCAATCTAGCCTCTATCACCCTTTCCCATAACTTCATGGTATGGCTGAGTAGTTTAATACTTCTGTAGTTGCCACAACGTTGGGGACCTCCTTTATTCTTATAGATTGGTATCACCGTAGACTTTCTCCACTCTTCTGGCATCTTGGCAGTCTCTAAAATAATATTAAAAATATTGGTCAACCACTTAACTCCCTCTTCTCCTAGGGCCAACCACATAGTGATATGAATTTGATCTGGACCGACAGCTTTGTCCCTCCCCATCTTTCTAAGAACCATTTTGACTTCCTCAAACCCAATCCTACTTGTAGGGAAGTCATTGGCCGTAGTATGATGGTCGACTGACCCATCAACGGTACTATCTCTATAGGAAGAGGCACCACCATTAAATAAGCCAAAGAAGTAACTAACCCAAACCCTCTTAATATCATGATCTTTCACTAAAAGAACGCCATTGTTGTCCTTAATAAACCTAATGTTACCTAGATCTTTTTTCCTATTCTCCCTGGATTTTGCTAGCTTGAAGATGCCTTTTGTCCTTCCTTGGTGTCTAATCTCTTGTACATTTCCTCGTATGCCTTATCCTTTGCTTTAGCCATCGTTTTCTTGGCTTCCAGCTTTGTCTCCTTGTATCTTTGTTTAGCTCTCGATCTTTCTTCGTCGTCATTGCAACCCAAGGGTGTTTTTGCCACCTCTCTAATGAATTTGCCATATTTTTCCATACTATCTGTATTTTTTGAGTTTGTAGTTCCAAAACCTGTATTAGACAAAACCTTACTCCTAAAGTCATCAGTTGTCGCTCCATGTAAGTTCTTCCAAAGGATCCTAGGTTTACCAAGTTTAGCCCTCCTATAAGTGCTCCGCCCGTGGTGTGCGCGGAACACAAAATCCAACAATTTGTGTTGTGATGCACATGCCTCGTCAGGAAATACCTTACCGTCAATGCAATCCCATCGATCCTGATTTCACACCAGGATGTAGTCGATTTGGGTACAATGTCCCCCGCTATAGAACGTAATCAAGTTCACATCTCTCTTGTTAAAGAAGGAATTAGTGACTACCATATCGTGTGCAGTAGCAAATTCAAGCAACGTACGCCCCTCCCCGTTCCTACTACCAAAACCGAAACCCCCATGAACACCGTCATACCCGTCGGTTGCACTACCTATATGGCCATTGAAGTCTCCCCCTATGAAAACTCTTTGGTCTTCTGGAATGCTCCTAAGTACATCATCTAACTGATTCCAAAAACAACGTTTCTCCCCTTCCCCTAGGCCAACGTGTGGGGCGTACACTGAAAGGACATTCACCACTTCCGCTTCTATAATAACCTTAATCATCATGATCTTATCCCGGTATCTACAAACTTCAACTACATTTTCCTTGAGCCTAGAGGATACCAAGATACCCACCCCATTTCTAGCGTTATCTACGCCTGAATACCACAACTTGTAACCCATTACTCTCTCTGGCACGAGCCCCTTTCCACCTAGTCTCCTGAATAAATGCAAAATCTATTTTCCTATTACTAAGTACGTTGGTCAGCTCCAGCAACCTACATTCAACGAACAAACTCTAAGTCTAGTCTTCTTAACACCACACTGTCGAGCCCTTCCCCTATACGCCCTATGGGATCTAAAAGAAGGATATGACCTCAAGTAATCATCTATAGCCGAAGCTATGAGGAACTATAATTTTCAAGAACCAAAATACTGAGAAACTCCAAAAATTAACAGATCAGAGAGCAATTCTGTCAAGATTCACTAAAAGAAAACTAATTTCCCACTGCTACTACAAACAACAGAGCTAAATATACGAACGAAAACTACGGAGCAAAAGTAACTAAAAGAAGAAGGAATACAGAGGGTAGAAAAGGGATCTTCAAAAATTGAAAAATGGGATTTCAAATCCCCGAATGAAAAAAAAGGAAAAAAATAAAGCCACAAATCACAAATTCACGATACAGAGTTCAACCTGAAGAAAAATAGGAAGATAAAAAATAAATTGAAATTAAAAAATATGGTATTAATCTGTGAGAAAAAGGCACGACTTGCTGGAAAGTAGGGATAGATCGAGAAGAATATGCAGAGAAGAGAAACGTACAGCTAATAACGATTCAAGTTAATTTAATGTAAACTGTTAAAAGGTAGATGAAAGGCGGTGTGATTTTCACTCAATTAGCTAAGACAAGAATCTTGCCAATCAGATCAATCGGAACATCTAAAAAAACAGTTGAGAAGTTTAGATCGCGATTAGCTAGATCTAGAAAATATAGATCCGGTTAACCCAACTAAAATCACTAGATCTGAATACTAGATTTCAACCGAGAGTTGTTTAAGTAAAGGATCTAATTAGTGGAACCATAACAGTACCTGCAGCTCCAGTAAGGAGGACACGAACTGGTTCTTTAACCGGAAGATAGGGAGAGCCCGGATATTACCAATTTTATTTGTGATAGCCTGTTGAATTTTTTTTCTCTGATCTAAATCAACGGAAATCCATACGAAAGAATCATATTTGCTTTCCAATGCAAAATCTAAAGAAAGAAAAGGGTGAGTAAGATTTGAATGCCATTAAACGTTTAGTTCTAACCTGTTGATTGTGATATAATAAAATCTGATCCTAAAATTTAAAACAATTATCATATCTCAGTCAACAAGTTAACGTCCAACTCAAACTGTCGTCAATTTTTTAACAGAAAATGATGTGTTTGAAAGATATCAATAGTTGGGAGACCATTTTGTAACTTTTAATAGTGGGGACTCAACAAAGCAATGCACTATAGTCGATGGACCATTTTATAACTACTAATAGTCAAGGGATTCCACAAAGTTATAATCTATAATCGGGAGACCATTTGTGTATTTTACCCTAATATTTTATTTTATTACGTCCATGGCCTTCTATTCCCTTCCTAACATAATTTTAAGATGCCCTGAAACGTGTCATCTAACAAAAATCAAAGCTTGCTTTACCAAAGAAACCTACACTATCGTCTACCAAGAAAAGAGGGCAAAATTATCATCACAGGGACCTTTGTAGACTCAAAGTTATGTGGCAGGACTATTGTGTTTTAAGTTATGAAAAAGAAAGACGTCTATTCCATGTTGCGGGATGGAGATTAATAACAATAAAGAACTTTGAGGCCATGCCTTCTAAGCAATTTCCCTCCATTACATTTCACTCTTCTAGTGCCATTCCCGACTCTACCTCAATAGTTTCAAAACACATGTTGTATGGAAGCCATATGCATCATCATCCATTGAACATCACAGTAATATATTCTACACATTTGTAAAAGATCGAGGCACCTATAATCACATTCTTCTCATTTTAATACAAGTTAATCATTACTAACTATTTAGCTAAATATTAGGAGTCTTTTTGTCATAAAATGAAACATTTGGGTCAAAATACTTCAAAAAAAGAAAGAAAGAAGAATAAAGGCTAAAGTAACTATTTAGTCAAACATTAGAGGTCTTTTTGCCCTAAAATGAAACATTATGAGTTAAAATGCTCCAAAAAGAGGGTAGATGTCAAAATGACTACTTAATCAAACATTAGAGGCCATTTTTTGATATTATGCCTAACCATAAAAGGCCAAATCAGAAACAACTTTCATTTGAATAATTTATCAAAGCATTCATCATTTCTTACCCTTAATCCCACTCAATATCACTTAACAACTGACCATGATTCATATTACGAGCACATTAATGCTCTCACGCCATGAAGAAAAGATAACCAGCTACTTAAGATACATTTTTCATGGTAAGTGTATATCTTTGCCAAAGCATTATTTAGCAAGAACATTTTTCAGATTGTTTCTAATTTCAAAGAAATATAAACTACGCTAAGAGAAAGAAGCACAGATGGTTATGATGGTAACCTACATCACCCAAACATGCATAAAGTATGACTTAAATAGAAAACTGCAATCACATTTTAATTTACTAGCCAAATGAATTTATGCCAATAGGGTAAATACTGACCGGATATTGATCATAAATGCAATCCCTCCGACCTTTTCCAGGCACCAGAGGATGAGTGTGCTCCTTCACAAATTTCGTGACAACCCATTTACCGGAACAAACTTTCCTCACCAAAATCATTGCCCTGCATCCAACCCTCGTCTCTGCCCTTTGCCTCACGATTTTTTCTCGCTTGTCGGGTATTCTAAAACCCTCTTTGTTACAAACAAGTGCCCTACCGATAGCAGATCCATCGCGTCTAGAACGGGAAAGTTTGCTTACCCGAATGACGAATCCCACCCTTGTAGCGTATGCATTATAGAAAGCATGTGCAGCTGCCTCGGATTCAAACTCCTGACCCACATAAGGCTCATTAGCTGGAATACTCCCTGGGATGTCTTCCTTTCCTGGAGAAGTTTGCTCCATTTTTTCATTCAATCCCTGTTGAAAAGTTCCTTCAACAGGAATGCCTCCTGTTTCATTTTCATTTTCCGTGCTACTAGTCTCCACTTGGACTGAGTTCAGTATCATGCCACCATTAACATCACCATGAACCCCAAACTCCATTGCAAGAGCACCTCTTTTTATAATTAGTTCTAGCAGATGAAGGATAAGCATGCAAAGATACAAAGTTAACCTTTGTATTTCCTATTAAAGTCCAAAAGTGCTTGCCACATTCAAATTAACAGTTACTGATAAACCATCTAGTCACAATCAAACTTTATATTAAAATGCAATAAAACATTATAACCTTTTTTTCTTCCAGATTCCAACCAATCATCTAGAGCACAGATTCACTCCAAGATGAAAATGAGGAAAAGGAAACACAAATAAAATTTACTGAACAGATTGCTCTCAAATAGAACCTACAATGAGTCTTACTTCCAAGAACTATCTTGCTACGACTCTTATTTTTTTCCGAAGTACATACATTGGCATCCGAGAAATATATAGACATGGGTATGGTGATATAATTCTCCAAAGACACTTCAAATACATGAAAAACTTACGAGGAAAAAACTGAACATGAGGCCGAAAAAGCTAAGGCAAAACGGAAGCATATTTCTTATTTCTAATGCTCAAGTATAAAACATAAACTTCTAAAGAATGAAATAATAAAAAGGAAAAGGAAAAAAAAATGAAAATACAAAGTTTATTTCTTGAGTCCTAGTTGGAGTGAACTCTGGAATAAGTCTGCTCCTTTTTCCTTTTTCTTTTAAAAAATAAAATTTCCTTTATTTTCCTATCCGCAAAACAGAGATTGATAACAGAATTCACTCGACATCATCAACTAATTCCACAACCTGAGGCGCTAATGCTATACTTTACTTACAAATTACAGTTTTAAAATGGGGGAATTTATAACCAGAATGAACAAAATAAAATCTAATTAAAAGTCAAACTCTAAACTTTTTCTCTTCTACTTGCACTTTCTCGGCTACCAAACAAAGAATAAATTAACAATTCAAGGGGGGGGGGGAAGGCATGTTCAACAATTGGCATTTTTCATCGAGCATTAACAAAAACATTTCAAAATGCTTCAATATATAACTTAAAACCATAAATTAAAATAAAATAGAAAAAACTTACTCGAAATTTTAGCCTTAATGAAATGAAATTGTGATGATCAATTAGGATTTAGGTAAGGGGGGAAATTGGGGTGCGAGATCAGGGTTGGGAATCATAACGCAAACAACGTGACATGGCAAGCGTTGATTGGTTTCAGGAAGTCAAAACGTTTTTATGGACTAATTAAATGTTGACACGACAATGCCTCACCTTTGCCTCCAAAGTCTAACCCGTTAATTTTTGGGTAAATTAAAAAATTATTTTTTAATTATTAAACTATCTCAAAATAATTTTTTAAGTATTAAACTTTTAAAAATCATAAAAGTATAAATCTATCACGCTCGACGAGTACCGTTAAATACTATTAATGATGAGTACCATTGAGCATTATTAATTTAATTTATAAAAATTAAAATTCTAAAGTACTTAACATACAATTATAAATTAGTTAAAAATTTAAAGTTAAATTATTTAAAATAAAATATTAATTACATTATTTAGGGGTTATATTTGATTCAATTTTTGTTAAAAAATATTATGAAAAATAATGTATTTAATATTCTATTTTAAATAATTTATCTTTAGATTTTTAATTAATTTATAATTATACGTTGAGTCTTTTAGAATTTTTAATTTTTATAAATTAAATTAATAATGCTTAACAGTGCTTGTCGTTAGTGATGCTCAACGATACTCGTCGAACGTTGTAGAATATTTCAATCATAAAATAAACATTAAACTTTAAGTTTTATTGCAAAATGAATATTGCATCATTAGTTATAACTAGTAGATGATACGGGATAACGCAATACATTCGCGATACATTAAAATTAAAATTAATATGTAATATTTCATTTGATCTTTTAAAATGTAATTAAAATATATTTTGGTGCCTTTTAATAATTTTAAGAAATAATTTTAATATATATATATATATTTAAATGTATGAAAAATAATAATTTATTTTAAAAATATTATTTAAAATTATAATTATAAGAAAACATTTTTACAAAATCATAAAACTTTAAATAATTTGATTCTTTTGTACTTTGGTTTCAAAATTTTATTGTTCAATTTCACATCCATATTTAAATTTATTTTGATATTGCCAACGGTTTGATAAGATCTTACTTACCCTAACCTCTCACTTATAATACCACTCCCCAACATATCAATAGAAACCCAGCAAGAAAAATCAGCGGAAAAATATGAAAATTATTTAAAAAAAACAGATCTATATATATATATATTATGTGTGTGAAGTAATTAAGCAAAATATGATCCTACGATTTTATCAAATACTTTCAACTCTTTGGCAATGAACGTTCATATCTTTATACAAGCAGTACTAAAATTTAGAACCTCAAAAAATAATAATAAATTTTTTAATTACTAAGATCTCTTAATTTGTGCACTAAAATAAGTTTCAAAATTTTTATATGCAAAATTAGATTATATTTTGTTATATTTCTCAAGAATTGCCCGTCCAACTCAGTTGGTAGAGCGCAAGGCTTTTAACCTTGTGGTCGTGGGATCGAGTCTTACGGTGGACAATTCATAATTCTGACTGCCGGAGGTCTTCCACGGAAGTTGCTCTTAACCTGGCGTTGGGGACAGCCTACTACCTTACCTTCCCCATTATAAAAGAACTCAACAGAAGTTTAAATATAAGAAAGATTGAGCAAATAAAATCATATCGCATCACTGATTCTTTTATACTTGCTTTTAATTTTAAAGAAGTGACATGAAATGAAGGCTGACCATCTTTCTATTTTTTCCTAAAAAAATCATCTTTCTATTTTGCTTTATATTTTGGATGTATATGATTCGGGCTTAAACGAATAATGTTGTGTTGATGTTTGTTTATACTTTGTATCGTTCCTCACTGCATCAAGCCAAACCTCGACTGGATTCCCGTGAGTTTACACAATTTTTGAGCTTTTCATAAGCTCTAACAAGCGAAGGCAATCAAACTCAAAAACTTGCAGTGACAAGTATTCGAGAAAAAAGTGCAAAAACCCAGCCACCATTTGTATAAACCAGGAAACCCTTCATTCCTGCAACAGAAGAACAACACATGGTCAATGGTTTCTTTTCCCTGTTCATATCGAGTTCAAATTCTAGAAGATTTCTTAAAGGGTGATTTTTGGTTAAAATTAGTGGCACGTCGTTGTTACACACTCGTGATAAGAAGGATTGAATTTTCAGAGGAGCTTTTAATCCCTATATCGATCTCCAAAGTTGTTTATTCTTCCTTGGGTCATTGCTAGAACTTGGATATGAGTCTTAGTTCTTATTTACATGCAAAACAATAACATCTTGTCGTTGAAAGAATTCCTGATAGAGATTGATAGGATTGCCTTTATCTCCTCTTCGGAGAAGAGTGCTCCAAGTTAAGATTGGTAGGACTTGCACTCCCTTGAGTCCTGGTTAATCAAGTGTCTTACGAGGAATTCATTTTGGGTGCGAAATTTCAGTAAGGATGATGTGTTATTACCAAATCATAATAAATATGAAATTAAATTCAAGAAAATAATATTAAATAGTAAAAGTGTACTCGAATATATTGTTAGAGATCACCCAAAAAGTGGTTGTGATATTCCAAGAAGATATGTTTTCTTGTGTATAAATTCTCTAACAGGATAAGAGAAAGTATAACTTCACATTTTTCTTGGGAATCACTACCTCTTTATATAAACTAAATATCAAGTCAGTCTTTTAAGTATTTATAATGTTATCCCTTACTATATTATAAATACAACTTATAGTATATACATTTTGTTTCAATGACACTTTAATATCTATAACACATATAACATAATTGGTTTTAATTCAACAATCTCTCACATGGGTAACATGTTTTCTAATAAATGTACAACTATAAACTATATTCATATAGAATCAAATTAGTCTTTTTCATATCAACCATGATTAGATCCATCAATAGTCGCATATACAAACACAATCAAATAACATAGATCAATCATGAAGCATAACATGAAAATTACATTACATGTAATGTGAATCAAAATGTTTATTTCCAATTGGTTATCTTTAAACATAAATGAATCAGTCTCCAAATAATAAAAGAGAGTAAATAAACTACATATTTTATTTAGGACTAGGAAATAAAAAAATACATACTGTCATAACCATTTAAAAAAACAATTAAGTTTAAAAAAACAGTTATGACTTTTATTTGAAAATTTGGGATTTTAAATTAATTTGAATTAAATTGAAGGGGAGTCGCCATCGACCTTTGAGATAGGTAGGTCGAATACCTAAAATGTCTTTTTAAAACAATTTTAAGAAAAATCGTTTTGTAAGACAAAAAAAAATTGGCCCGCGTTTACCAAAAATCTATTTTAACGGGACCGGGAGTCGATTACGCATGGGGAAGGATTAGCACCCCCACAACGCCCCAAAAATTGGTACTCAATCGCTTACATGTTGTCGTAAATGGTGGAAATTGTGAATTGAATATATAGTTAGAATGTGATTCATTTATTAAAGTTTGATTAATTTGCTTTGAATTATTTATTAGGGAAAATCCTTTAATTCGAAAAGAAATATTGAGATTTGCTCATCCTCCGACGGGAAGGCTATCTCTCCTATTTCTTGACCAAAAATAATATTCCCTTATCAATAAAAAACACGAATCGAATATAAATTAAAAAAATCGTCATTTACAAAAATTGCTATTTAAAACAACACTCATTGCATCATTTGAAAAGACGAATTGATTATCATTAAAATATAAATTTGATTTATTTAGAGTTTATATTTTGTTAGAATGTCGTATCATATCGCACTACTTCGATCAAACAATGTTTTCCACGCCCGTTCTATAAATAAGGTTCTTAAAAATAATTTCGAGTGTATATATATATGCATTAGGAAAACAGTGAATATCAAACGATTTAAAATGTAACTAAGTTTAGCAACCACGTCTTAAACTAATTAAAATTTATTATAATAATAAAATGCCTAAATAATATATATATATATATATATATATATATAATAATAATCCTATAAAAAAAATAAAGATGGAATAAAATAAAACCAAACTATCACATGGATCAAAGTAGCAAGCATATATTTAGCAAGAAAAAGGTTTAAACCGAAGGTAATTAAAATAACAGTGTCTAAACAAACAAATAAACCAACATAAATATAAACAATGACTAAAAGGTATATCAGAGTAACTTTAAGGACCTGTTGATTAAATTACCATTTTCATATAGTACAAATGAATGACTAAAAAGTAATGAAAGGAAAACATACAAGCAAGATTCAGTATTTAACCCAATATACAGAAACAGTGATCAAAATGTAATTTTCATAAACGCCGAGGACAATATCTAATATCCGCAAAGTATACATAATAACAGCAAGTTGACCCAGATACAAGTTTTACAAATGTAGGGAATAAAATATGAAACAAATAAATTACAACTAGTGACTAAAAAGAAAATTACACAAACCAGAGGCCCCATAACATAGTTTACCCACGCATTGAAATTACAACCCGACCCCTCGCTAAACGGCGTCATTTGGGACCTTGGATATAAGGTCAAACGAAAGGTCTAAAATCGACCAAACTCCTCATTTCTCTCATCTTCTTTGCCTCTCTCCCTCTGTCCTCCACTGAGGCTGGAAGCCCCAACTCCCCGACCACCATAGATCGGTGGCCATGGGAAAAAAACGTGTCAAAATGTAGGGGTGTTCAAAATTCGGTTTTAACCGAATTAACCGACTGAACTGAATTAGTTCGGTTAATTCCGTCGGGGAACGGTTAAGGATTTTTTTGGAATTCGGTTAACGGTTAATTCGGTTCGAAATCTGTTAATTAACCGAGTTAACCGAATTAACCTTTAAATATAATTATATTAAGAGGCCCAATCCATTTAAAACCCAAATCAATATTAATTAATTAAAATAATATCAAAACTAAATGCAAAATGTTTGAATCAAATTAATTTGATATTATTTATAATTAGATATTATCTAAATTAATTGTAAATTATTTTTTTAATTAAAAAAATATTAAATTCTAAAAAATTTCGGTTAAT